ACCATATGCAGTAGTGAGTGCCGTCGTTGCGGGTATTGCCTTCGGGGGATCTCCTCATGGGGCCACGAAGCGCTGCACTGAGTGGGGGAAACGCATGCGAACACCGTCGCTGGGGCCTTCGGTGGAGCTCCCGATGGCGGGACCTTCGGTGGAGCCCCCTGTGGGGCCACGAAACGCTGCCCCAAATGGGGCCATAAAACGTTATATTGGGTGCGCAGGGTGGAGGCAGGAATGGGAGGATGGGGAGGAGGGAAGAGGGGGAGGAAGAAGGAGGAGAGGAGAGACGCGGGGCGCTGTCTCTTCAAAACGAGGGCCCAACACCGCAGGATGGCTGGGACAAAAAAGGGGGAGAAAGAGAGAGAGAGAGAGAGAGAAAGAGAGAAAGACAGAAAGAGAGATGGAGAGAGGGAGACTGGCATATTCCTCTTCCTATATTCTTATAAGCCCGGGCGGGGGACCCCCCCGCAAAAAAACGGACTCCCGGGACCAGGGGCTTTGGGAGACTTTGGACGGGCCTCGAAGCGGGCCCCCGGGCATCGCAGGGCGTTTTGCCAAGCCTTCCCAGCACACCTAGGGCGATCAGGGGGGTCATCGGAGACGTCTCAGGGACCCCCAAGACAGCACAAGAGCGCTCCAATAGTGACCGACATGACCTCAAGATGGCCCAAGAGGCCTCCAGGACGGCCCCAAAGAGGCCTCCACGAGCACTCCCAAGAAGGCCCCAAGAGGCAAAAATCATAGATTTTCTTTTGGTTTTTGGTGGATTTTGGGGTTCTCCTCTTTTCTCTTTTCAGCTTCCCGACGCTCCAAGACGGCGGTTTTCTGGGCGTCCGAAGCCGCCTGGGAGGCTCCAAAGTCGCGCCACAACCACCCGAAAGGGCTTCCAGGCAGCCCAAGAGATCCCAAAAACGGTGCAACACGGGTCCAAGATGGCCCTCAGAGAGCCCCATGGCGGCCCAAGATGGCCCCAAGACATCCTCTGAAGCATTCCAAATCGTGACCCGGTCGTTCAGGGAGACTGCGATTGGAGGCAGGGTGGCCCGAGGAAGCCCCCAGAGGCCCCCAGAATACGCCCAGGAGGCCTCCAGAAGGCCTTCAGAAAGCCTGAAACAACTTTTGTGAGGTCCCCAGAGGCTCTCCCAGGAGGAGCCGCCGCAAGAAAGAGCTGAGGAGGATGGGGAGAATGCGCAGGGTATGGCGAAAATGCGGGAAAAGAAACATGGAGGAAGGATAACGAAAAACATTATCATAGCGACGCTGCCGGAAAAGGCAACAAGGAGTTATCGCTAAATTGTCGGCTTGACCTTCCTGCTATTCCGCCTGCGTACCAAACTTCAAGGACCAAGGTGCATGGCGCGAAGCGCCACTACAGTCTTGTGTATATATACACACTATACGCACAAACAGAAAATGAGAGACAGAGAGAAAGAGAAATACAGAGGAATGCAACAAATAGTGTTAAGTTTACATATGTGTATAGATATGTCGGATATATGTATATATATATACATATAAATATATACATGTATATAGATATGACACAGAGAAGTCCAGAAATCTAGAAAGAGAGAAACGGGCGAGAAAGAGAGAGAGAGAGAGAGACAGAGATCGGACAATCCGGGCGGAGTCCCGTCCACGGGCCGGCGGGCAAGCGAGCCGCTCCCGCAGCACCTCGGCCGGCGCTGTCGGCTAGAGGAGCCCTGCGCACCCGTCTTGGGCGGTCGGCCGGGGGAGGAGGGGGAGGGAGGGGCGATGGGGGACCGCCGAGCAAGCGGTGTCCTGTGATACTGCCTCGCAGCCGTCCGAGTCTCACCTGTAAGGTTAAGCGAAGCCCGCACCCGCCTTTGGCATGATGGTACCTCGCTGGCAGTGGCGGCATCCATCTGGTAACCCTTCAGGACCCCGCAGTGGCGGGATGCCACAGTGGACGCTTTCCAGGCAGCGCACGGGGCTCGAAGAGAAGGTTCGTTGGCGCTTCTAGCGAGAAGGACTCGGGCCGCTTGGAGGGCGACTGCGACGGAAGCGGAGACGCTCGCCGTCGAAGGGCGAGCGAGGCCTGGCGCTGCACGGCGGCATGAAGTTCACGCAGCGCGGTGAGGTGCTGTCGTGTCGTGCGGCGAATGAGGTCGGAAAGGGACTGGACGTGCTCGAGCTGGCGCTCGAGCCGCGTCAAGCGGTCGGCCGCAGGCTGAGCTTGGCCCTGCGCGACTTGCAGGCGGCTGTCGGCCACGGCCACTGGGCCGGGCCAGGGCGGCGTGGCCCGGGGTCGTCAGGAGCGCGTCTCCGTCTCTCGTCGAGGCATTGCTAGCGTTGCTCATGGGGACGTTGCTGCCGTATTCCCCGCCACAGCTGAGCCAGGCTTGTGGAGGACGATCAATGGAGAGGAAGCGTGTTGCCAAATAATTTCCAGATGTCTAAAACATGTGTTAAACATGTTGCAAACATGTAAAACACATGTAGGAAAAAAAACATGCTTAGAACATGTTCCGACATTTTGAACACATTTAGATTCAATGACAGGACTGTTAGGGTGTCCATGATCGTGGCATCCACAAAGCCAGGAATAAAGCGTCGTCGGGGGACGACGGGGAACCGTAAGCCCCTGACCCCTCAGGGTCGACGCCTGGGGGGGCGCTGGGGCGTCAGGCGGCTGGCCGGGCGGGTCGTCAGGTCCCCTCCGGCGTCGGAGGCCGTGGTGCCCGCCGAAAGTCAGCACGGCCGTGCGGTCGCGCCTCTGTCGCAGGGCCGGCCCTCGTGAGAGCGTCGCTTCGGGGCGCGGCGCGTCGTCGTCGGATGGGCGGGGCGGTGCAGCGGGCAGCGGGTGGGCCGCCGTGGGACGGGGCCAGCCTCGGTGCCCTGGTGCAGGGCCCAGGCAATCCAAGCGCGCGCGCGCGCGTGCGTCGCTCATCTGCTGGATTGTGCGGTTGAGCGCGTGACCCGTGAGCGCGGCAACATGGCGATGACGGTCGCGGCGTCCCTGGCCACCTCGGTCCAAGGGCTTCTCGGCGAACTTCGCGAGCGCGGCGGCGCTGGAGGTCGGCCGCCTCCCATGGTGGATACATCTATATATCTATATATCTATATATCTATATATCTATGTATAACCCACGACGGCAGCCATTTGGAGCGCACGGAGGACCTCCTCCACGCAGTAGAGGCGCCACATTTGTTTGCCTCTGTCAGGATTGTAGAGGTCTGGGAGATACGGGCGAGGTGGTCCACCCACCTTGCTCGGGCCTCCTGTGCGTGTTGAATCAGCGGGTCAGTGGGGCAGCTTGAGGCGCGCGGTGGGTGAGTGAGTCGTATTCCCTGGCGCAGCTGCTGCCTCGGAGGGTTCCCCTCAGGTCCAGGGGCGGGGGTGGTGCGTCGATTTCGCCCTCGGGGACCCTTCGCGAGGTTCGGCTTGGGGTGATGTCACGGGGAGGCCGCGCCTCAGGCGGGCCCTGCGACGCGCGGGGTGGCGCCCGAGGTGGCCCATCGCTGGGCAGACCGTCGGGAGGCTCGTTGACGTCTGGGGAGCCGCCCATTGACCCTCCAAGGCCGAAGGGGGTCATCGTCGTCTTCGGCAGGTGTATCCCCAGGTCCGTCGAGGGATGACGGGAGGCCATGGAGGACGAGGTGGGCGTCCTCCTCCGAGAGCAGTTGGTTGCCGCCGTCGGCCGCTGGTGCCCGGGGGGATCGGCTGCTGGGAGCGCCCGAGGATGGGGCTCCATTCGCCCGAGTTCACCGTTTGTTTAGCCAGCCCGTCGGCGCGGCAGGGGGCGCGCGCAGGTCCGTTTGTCCAAGATGGTGACAGCACTGGTCTGGAGGGTCACGGCCAGCCGCAAGCGTTGCTTGGCGGCGTCGCACAGAGCTGCAGGAGCAGCGTGGAGATGGGCCGCGCCAGCGGCCAATTCGCCGGCCTTCCTGTTGGAGTATTCCGCAGTGGCTGAAAGCAGACGGGCGTTGACCCCCTCCTCGCCTTCATGGCTTGGGACTTTTTCAACGCGGAAAAATCGCGGCGAAAATGGACAGCTTGGTGAATTCGCTTCCATAGATCAGCCTGCTCGCCCATGGCTGGGGGCGGGGCGCCGTTGAGCAGAAGCCCGAAGGTGTCGTGAACCGTCTGGTTGTCCACGAAGATGTGCACAGGCCTTTCGGCGGTAGACACTATGTGGAGAAGTGCCAGGGTCTGGAGTGATTAAGACGGTGATCGGTCCCATAGAAGACGCCGAAGCCTGCCCGCGCAAGCAGCGGGTGCGCTTGGTGCGAACAGGCCCCGTCCGTGGCCGCATAGACCCAGCGCGCCCCGTCAGGGTCAAAGTAGTCTTGCCATGTGTCCAGCCCCAGGTCCGGGGGGGGGGCGCGAGGGGCCGGCTGGGGAAGCGGGTCCTGAGCCAGGTCTTTCTGCAGGTCAAGAAGATGTGGGTCCTCCGACAGAAGCCCGCAGTGTCGCGTATGTGGTGGAAACTGAGCCCACTGGTGGTCAGAGACCATGGAAGTGAGGGTTAGGCGCTGAGGGGCCCAGAACGGGCATCGCCAGATGTTGTGCTCCTGCGTCTCTTCCTCCTGGTCGCAGTAGCGGCAGATCGGGTAGTCGTCGGCAGTACACTTGGCACGGTGGAGACTTTGTTGCGTGTGGTCACCTCTGGCCAGATAGTTCATGAGGAGTCCCGCTTGCCAGACGGTGCACTTGAGTCGACCCTCGGTGCGTAGGATTTACGTGCAGGCGTACACGTCGACGCCCTGGGGCACTGACGCCAGGAAGCCGAGGTCGTGCCGGGAGGGGCTGATCTTGCGGAGGAAGGACCGCCGATGGGACGCACGGAGCATGTGAATAGAGAGAGAGGAGAGAGACAAAACAATAAAAAGGTTGTAGCGATAGAGAGAGAGAGAGAACAACAAAAAAAGAAAGGATAATATGTTGTAGCGAAAGAGAGAGAGAGAGAGAGAGAGAGAGAACAAACAAAAAGCAAGAAAGCAGAACAGGTTGTAGCGAAAGGGAAAGAGAGAGAGAGAGACAGAGAGAGACAGAGAGACAGAGAGAGGGTGGATAAGGGAGGGGAAGGTGGCGACGGGCCCCAAACACTCTGCGGCTGCGCGCAGCGGCAGGGTCGCACCTCCTGCCCGGCACCGCCCAGCACGGGCGGGAGCCCGAGGGCCTCTCCCTGGGCCAAGGGCCCCGCGCCGAGGGCCGAGCCCGCACCAGCCGGCGGGGGCGGCTGCACTGCTGGGCCAGCTTGTCCCGCCAGGGCTGCCACAGGCAGGACGAGGGAGGAGGGAGGATGGGGAGGTCCTCCTCCTCCTCCTCCTCCTCCTCCTCCTCCTCCTCCTCCTCCTCCTCCTCCTCCTCCTCCCTCCTCCTCCTCCTCCTCCTCCTCCCTCCCTCCTCCTCCGTCCTCCTCCTCCCTCCTCCTCCTCCTCCTCCTCCTCCTCCTCCTCCTCCTCCTCCTCCTCCTCCTCCTCCTCCTCCTCCTCCTCCTCCTCCCTCCTCCTCCTCCTCCTCCTCCTCCTCCTCCTCCTCCTCCTCCTCCTCCTCCTCCCCTCCTCCTACTCCTCCTCCTCCTCCTCCTCCTCCTCCTCCTCCTCCTCCTCCCTCCTCCCTCCTCCTCTCCTCCTCCTCCTCCTCCTCCTCCTCCTCCTCCTCCTCCTCCTCTCCTCCTCCTCCTCCTCCTCCTCCTCCTCCTCCTCCTCCTCCTCCTCCTCCTCCTCCTCCTCTCTCTCGCTACCTGTGGTGGTGGTGTGGTGGTGGTGGTGGTGGTGGTGGTGGTGGTGGTGGAACATCGCCCCATCATACACGCCATGCGTGAGCGGTGTGCCGCACGAGGAGCGGCGGCGCTCTGCACGCGGCCGCGCCCCGTCTGCGACCGCCGCGGCCGTTGGCGGATCCCCCGCCCCCCAGTAGATGGACAATATGTTCGAACCCTTAACCCCAGGAAGCATTTAAGAACCCCCCCCCTCTGGCAAATCGATAACCCTTCCGCACTCATCATCATCATCATCATCATCATCATCATCATCATCATCATCATCATCATCATCATCATCATCATCATCATCATCATCATCATCATCATCATCATCATCATCATCATCATCATCATCATCATCATCATCATCATCATCATCATCATCATCATCATCGTGTCCGGGTGCTACAGCTATCGTTCGGTTATTTCGGCCCTTCGGAATATCGAATAAAAAATGCGGTGCTACGATATCGCCGGGGGGGTTCTTAAATGCTTCCTGGGGTTACACAGTCGAGGGAGATTCTCAATCACCCCCGCGCCCCCGACACCAATGCTGATCTCAGCAAAGGCGGTGCTTTGGGCTTCGACTATTTCTGTCCACTCACAGCTCCCCCGTCGCCACGCCGTCGATGTTAATTTCGGGGGGTCTGGGGGGCATCTTGGGCCACAGGGTTCGAATATAATGTCCATGTACGGACCCCCCGGGGCGGGGTGCCGCATCGCCGCATCCCGGCCCCCTCGCGTGGCGACAGAAATCAGGACGGGAAGGTCTTCGCGAGTCTCGGCCCGCACGGCGCCCTTCTGCCAAGCCTCGGGGCCGTCCGAAGAGAAGGCCCCCCGGGACGGGCAGCCGGTCCCGGGGCCAGGGGCCCAGACCTCTGGGGGCCGCCGTGGCGAAGCAGGTCGCGGCGTCGGGGGTCTGGCGCTCTGGCGGCGCAGCAGCAGCGGCAGGAGGCAAGAGGAGGAGGAGGAGGAGGAGGAGGAGGAGGAGGAGGAGGAGGAGGAGGGGGAGGAGGAGGAGGAGGGGGAGGAGGGGGATGAGGGGGAGGAGGAGGGGGATAGGGGGAGGAGGAGGAGGCAAGATGGCGAGAGGGGGGGGGAGCGGGGGGGGGCGGGAGGGAGGCGCGCGCGGGCGGGAGCGGAGCGAGAGCGAGGGCTCCAAGAGCTCCCTGGGAGGATCGTGGGGGAAGATATTCTAAGCCTCCTCCTCCTCCTCCTCCTCCTCCTCCTCCTCCTCCTCCTGCTCCTCTCTCCTGCCCTCCTGTGTCTACCTTTGTATGCAAACGATTATGGTTGCAAATTGTCGACTTGGGGTTTGTGTAGTTTCACTTTTCGTTGCACGAGTAACGCTCTACCTTTTGGGGGAGGGCAGCACGGGCACACCGGGGGAGGGGGGAAGGCGGAATGGGGGGGGGGCGCGGAGAGGGAGGGGGGGCGAGGGCGGGAGGGAGGGCGGAGGAGAGGGCGGAGCGGGGCGGAGGGGGATGGTGAGAGTGGGAGACGAGCGAGAGTGGGAGGCAGGGAGAGTGGGACAGAGACGGCTAAAGACGACGGCGCCGCTCTCCGCTGCCGTGCAAGAGGGGCGGGGGAGGAGGGGAAGGGGAGGGGGACGGAGAAGCAGAGCAGGAAAGGAGAGACGAGGACAACACCAAAACGACAAGGACGACGGGGAATACCTAGAACGATGGGGCAACGACAAACATACACAGGGTATAACCCCCCAACCGGAGGATTTCCTGGCATTAACGCATGCGCTCCACGCATGCCGTCTCCTTCTGTCTCTTTCTCTCTCTCTCTCTCTCTTTCTCTCTATCTCTCTCTCTCTCTCCTTCTCTCTCTCTATCTCTGTCTCTCTCTCTCTCTCTTTCTGTCTCTCTCTCATTCTCTCTGTTGTTATGCATATAGCCTGTCTACTTGGTATATGCCCTCACGCCTTTCTCTGCACTCGACTGTCCTAGACTCGACCTGCTCTCGAATATGCATGCGTGCTTTGACATGGATACACGTATGTACACTGTACGCGTTGTGTATTGTGTGTGTGTGCCTCTTCCTCTCTCTCTCTCTCTTTCTTGATTCATTTGTCATTGTTGACCCTCTCTCTCTTTCTTTATGTATATGTGTATACATACCTATATGTGTTATACATGTCGCTGTCTCTCCATGTATCTCTCTTCGTCCCCTCTCCCCGGCCTTAACTTCGCCCACATGCTCTCTGATTTGTACTCTTTCTCTCTCTCTATATATATGTGTTACATCTCATATCACTCCGACCTCCCCATCTATCTTTCAATCGTGGTCGTCGCAAATACTCGCTCTATCTCCCTCCCCCTCTCTCTCTCCAACCCCTCCGGGCGACTCCAACTCTTCTCGCAACTCTCTGACTGACCCCTGTCCTCTTTACTGGAAAGACCCAAGCGCTTGGCTATCATCCAGAACCGCAGCCAGGAAGCCGGAATCACACCAAGCCTGACACTGCCAGGGACCCCGGGATCGGCAACCAGGAACCCAGGAACCCAGCCGCCCACCGAACCTGGAAGCTGGGAACCCACAAAACAAGACAGCGCAACCAAACCACGCGCCCAAACTGTCGCAACACACCATGGTTTGTTGCTCACGCGTCCGTAACAATAATCGTTGTCTTGCAGAACCGATCCCGCTGAAGAGGGGGGCCTTGTGTTGATTTGGTTGCGGGAAATTTGATTACGAGGTGTAATATGGTTGTGAGTTGGCTACGAAAACTTGAAATATGGTTACGATTTGGTTACGGTGCATCACATATGGTTACAATTTGGTTACGGCCCAATCTGGTTACGATTTGGTTACGATTTTGCCACGATTTGATGAGGACGTTCGCGGCGCACCGCGAACGCCGCAACCAAATCGCAGCCGAATTGCGTGGTGACGAGACCTTGTGCCCCTGCGTGCAGCGCAGAGCATGACACTGTCTTCATGCAGTGCGCGCTGTGGTGCAGCGACAATGGGGGGGTGCAGCAAAGCCGCGCCGAAGCGCGCCGAGTTCCAAATGAAGTGGGGCGCAATCCACGTCAGGCACGTGCTAAAATGCGCGGGGGATCTTTGTGGCCGCGCACGCAGGGGCCAGAAGTGGAGCTCCCTGAAGGACACGATCTGCGGGAGGGGTGTGCCGAAATTGGGGCGGCGGCGCCACGCGAACACTTTCCACTGGGGCAATGCGTGAAGCTCCTTCTGGGGTCCGCTCCGTGTGAGGGGTGTGCCCAACTGGCTGGGAAACGCTATGCGGAAACACCTCCACTGGAGCCATCGGATGAGCAGCTTGGGGGTTTGGGGTGGGAATGGACGCGGCGAGCCATGCGGACGCGCCCACTGGGGCCATGGGTGAGGAAGAGAAGGCGGTGTGAGCAGGATGTGGGGCGATGAGTAGTGAGCACAGCGACCAGGAAGAGTGCAGAACAGTGATGAGAACTGAGGAGGGTGAGGATGACTGGCGAACAGCAGGTAAGATGAGATGAGGAGCGAGGGGGAGAAGGAGCGAGGAGGGGTGCGCAGGAGCCAGATCGGATGGCTCGCCGCATGATCGGAACTCACAAGACCCAGCTTCGTGTGGCCGTTCCATGGGCCAGCACATCGATATGATCGTGCTCTGCTAAGATCCCACATGCATTGACCTCAAACCAGCACGCGCAGAGCACGCACGCACGCACGCACGAACGCACGCATGCACGCACACACACATACACACACATTGAAGATATACATACATACACGCGCGTTCGTGTGCAACGTAGCGTGTATGAGAGCAAGCGCGCGAAAGCACAGCAGTGACATTTCTTCATGTGCTTCTTCGTCGTCCCTTTCTGTATGATCCAATCCCTCTCCAAGAACCCCTTCGGGCATACATTAGAGTAACTATGCCTGCGTGTCCTTGAACCATCTTCCCTCTCCGCCCCGCCGAATCACTACCGCTCTTTCTCGTCCTCCTCATCTGTCGTCCTCCCTGTCTTCCTCGTCGTCCTCCACGTCGTCGTCGTTCCCCAAATCCTGCTTCTGCTCCCGCTCCGTTCCTCGTCCATGTCGCCCTCCTCGTCCTCATGCTCGTCGCCATCCTCGCCGTCCTGCTCTGCCCGCCCCTTCTTCAGCCCCATCGGCAGTCTCTGGCATGATCGTTTGATCTCGTTTCGATGAACTTACGATTCAATTACATGCGGTATGGTTACGGCTTGGTTGCGACACGGTCACGAATTATGGAATGTGTTTACGACTTGGTTACGGCAACTCTAAATATGGTTACGACTTGGTTACGCGAAGACCTTCCCTGTTGATAGCTCAAATGTGTAAAGGGTCGCTCGTAACCATTGTGCTTTGTGCTTTGGTTTCGCGCGCTCTTTTCGCGCGTAACCATATGCTTTGGTTGCGTACACTCGGGCAGCCACTCTGGAACCAGGGAGGGAACCCAGTTGCTGAGAGAACCCCGAAACCAGGAACTGAGAACCCGGGAACCCAGCCGCCCCACCGAAATCGGACCGGAATCCGGAACTGGTAACCTGGGAACCCCGAACTGGGACCCCGG